TGGTCGGACGATTTTCACACCGTTAGTGGGTTAATTGGTCGGACAATTTTTTGCACCGTTAGTGGGTTAATTGGTCGGACGATTTTCGCACCGTTAGTGGGTTAATTGGTCGGACGATTTTCGGGGTTTTGTCACATTTTTCTTATCGGTAAAGTTGGGAAAGAATCGGACGATTTTGCTTATCAGACTTTTTTCCCAGCAATGATGGGCAAATCGGCCGATCGTTTTACCGATAATAAATAGGAGGAGGAGGAGACAATGTATCCATTTGTATCCGAATAAAACCATCTGTATCCGAATGGATACAAATGGATACAAATGGATACAAATGGATACATTGTTGCAACCGCAGGACTTTCATGTAAAATATAATAGCGGAGCTCTCTGCCTGACAGAAGTAATTAAATGCCGGCCGTAGACGGGATGAAAATCGGACGATTTTTTTTTTTACCATTGGTGGTAACGTCGGCCTATTGAACGACGACCAATTTTTCGTTTTTTTTTTTTTAAAAACGGCTGGTTTTGGACCCGTCTATGTCCTGCATTAGGATATGCTTCCTCCCTGCCTGCAGCAGACTAATGACATCATCTCAGCCTAGGCACAGTCACCGAGCTCAAGGATGGCTATGTAATAAGAGGTGGAGCTATTTTTACAAAATTGATATCGTTGCTGTGTATTGGACCGAGAGTTTTACCGACCCATGAGGGTCCGCGTCGCAGTGTCCACTCCCATTAGAGGGGGAGTTTATGAATCAAGATGCATCCTCCTGGTAAATTCGTCACACTGCTCCTTTTTTTGCATTGCAGCAAAGCCGAAGTCTCCCCACCGCAGCCCTCTTGCAGTATCGGCAGGGCGCTGCAGTGAGTTCATTCGGCGAGATGACGTCTGCCTTGTGGAAGGTTGTTTGGCAGATGCTCACCGATCGTTACACAAGACGAGTCCTACTAACCCAGATTGGCTCCAGGGACTGTGAACACCTTCATAAGAACATGCAGGTCAATGGCTCGGTCTGCTGGGATGAGAAAAACAAGTCCTTCTCCCTGTGGGTGAACATACAGAGGGACACACCCAGAAGCAGATGCACAAACAAGAGAATGGATTACGGTTCATGAAACCTTTACAATAATCTGTGTCAAGACTGGCGTTGGACGGCCCGGCGGATGCTTCTGAAGGGGAGGGGGAGCAACAATATGTAATACCTAAAAAAGGGGATTCTATACAGATATACAGGCGTACCTCGGTTTAGGGATTTAATGCGTTCGTATTGCGAGAAATTCATAAACTAAAACGCGGTTTCCTGTAGGAATGCATTGAAAACCAATTAATTCGTTCCGGAGGTCAGAAAAAAGTTTTAAAAAGTCGGTTTTTAAATGTAATTACCGACTTTTTTTCTTCACTATAGCTCACAGAATCAGCTGTTACTTTCCCCAAGATAAAAGAAAGAAAGTTTCCTTTTAGTCTCCATGTACACGAGACACTTCTGAACGATGGAAACTGACTGCTGAAAAACGTTGGTTAAAAAAAGTCTGTTTAGCCGCCTTTGCATAACGCGTTTATGCGCGTTTGCGCTTAGAAGCGTTATTTTTAAAGATAAGCACAGGAGAACCTCCCAAATGCCCAGAATGCACTGAAAAGTGGTAAATTATTAACTATTTCAGACTGTTTCAGAGAAATACAGAGAGTAGAAGCAGAGACAGCAGTATCTGTTGAGATCAGCTTAGATGTGAGTCTCATTAACATTTCTTTTGTTTCCAAGGGTGGGAAAGGTGTCTGCTGGAGGGAGTCATTAAGGCCACCTGGCAGGGGGTCTTCATGAGGAATTGGAGGTGTGAATGGTCATTAACAGATCTTTTGTTTCCAAGGGTGGGAGAGGTCTGAGGTGTGAATGGTCATTAAAGTTCTTTTGTTTCCAAGGGTGGGAGAGGTCTGAGGTGTGAATGGTCATTAACATATCTTTTGTTTCCCAAGGGTGGGAGAGGTCTGAGGTGTGAATTGGTTATTTAACATATCTTTGGTTTCCAAGGGTGGGAGAGGTCTGAGGTGTGAATGGTCATTAACATATCAATTGTTTCCAAGGGTGGGAGAGGTCTGAGGTGTGAATTGGTCATTAACATATCTTTTGTTTCCAAGGGTGGGAGAGGTCTGAGGTGTGAATGGTCATTAACATATCTTTTGTTTCCAAGGGTGGGAGAGGTCTGAGGTGTGAATGGTCATTAACATATCTTTGGTTTCCAAGGCTGGGAGAGGTCTGAGGTGTGAATGGTCATTAACATATCTTTGGTTTCCAAGGGTGGGAGAGGTCTGAGGTGTGAATGGTCATTAAAGTTCTTTTGTTTCCAAGGGTGGGAGAGGTCTGAGGTGTGAATGGTCATTAACATATCTTTTGTTTCCCAAGGGTGGGAGAGGTCTGAGGTGTGAATTGGTTATTAACATATCTTTGGTTTCCAAGGGTGGGAGAGAGGTCTAAGGTGTGAATGGTCATTAACATATCTTTTGTTTCCAAGGGTGGGAGAGGTCTGAGGTGTGAATGGTCATTAACATATCAATTGTTTCCAAGGGTGGGAGAGGTCTGAGGTGTGAATTGGTCATTAACATATCTTTTGTTTCCAAGGGTGGGAGAGGTCTGAGGTGTGAATGGTCATTAACATATCTTTTGTTTCCAAGGGTGGGAGAGGTCTGAGGTGTGAATGGTCATTAACATATCTTTGGTTTCCAAGGCTGGGAGAGGTCATTAACATATCTTATGTCTGAGGTTGTGAATGGTCATTAACATATCTTTGGTTTCCAAGGCTGGGAGAGGTCTGAGGTGTGAATGGTCATTAACAGATCTTTTGTTTCCAAGGGTGGGAGAGGTCTGAGGTGTGAATGGTCATTAACATATCTTTTGTTTCCAAGGGTGGGAGAGGTCTGCGGTGTGAATGGTCATTAACATATCTTTTGTTTCCAAGGGTGGGAGAGGTCTGAGGTGTGAATGGTCATTAACATATCATTTGTTTCCAAGGGTGGGAGAGGTCTGAGGTGTGAATGGTCATTAACATATCTTTTGTTTCCAAGGGTGGGAGAGGTCTGAGGTGTGAATGGTCATTAACATATCTTTTGTTTCCAAGGGTGGGAGAGGTCTGAGGTGTGAATTGGTTATTAACATATCTTTGGTTTCCAAGGGTGGGAGAGGTCTAAGGTGTGAATGGTCATTAACATATCTTTTGTTTCCAAGGGTGGGAGAGGTCTGAGGTGTGAATGGTCATTAACATATCAATTGTTTCCAAGGGTGGGAGAGGTCTGAGGTGTGAATTGGTCATTAACATATCTTTTGTTTCCAAGGGTGGGAGAGGTCTGAGGTGTGAATGGTCATTAACATATCTTTGGTTTCCAAGGCTGGGAGAGGGTCTGAGGTGTGAATGGTCATTAACATATCTTTGGTTTCCAAGGCTGGGATAGGTCTGAGGTGTGAATGGTCATTAACATATCTTTTGTTTCCAAGGGTGGGAGAGGTCTGAGGTGTGAATGGTCATTAACATATCATTTGTTTCCAAGGGTGGGAGAGGTCTGAGGTGTGAATGGTCATTAACATATCATTTGTTTCCAAGGGTGGGAGAGGTCTGAGGTGTGAATGGTCATTAACATATCTTTTGTTTGCAAGGGTGGGAGAGCTCTGAGGTTACACAAGGAGAAGCTGCCACTCATGAAATATTCATCCTCGGTCGGGCAGATCACCAACTCCGATTGTAACTGACGAATGCTCCCGCGCACAATCAACGAGACGAAGGCAATTATGTGACAATCCAGGGGAGGCTTTCAGGACGGCGCCGAGTTCAGAGACCTCCAGAAACTGGGTCAGGAGGACCGGTCCTCTTAAAAAATGAATGGGCCAATGAATAATGAGAGACTTCCATCCCTGAATAACAACTGGCACATCCATTATGGAGGCGGCTATAAATAATAAGTGCTTCGGATTCAAAGTGAGACGCATGGAATTCGGCTGGATAGGATCATCCGAGCAAATGAAGATAATGCTACAATGTTACCTTTTCCTTTCTTGTCTTTTAAGAACTGTCCTCAAGGACCCAGCAAGTTTAACCCCTTCCTGCCCAGCCTCCGCCCCTAACTAGGTCTTTATACCCGGGGGGGAGGGGCAGGAAGGATGGTCCGTTCACATGAACACCGTGGTGGTCACATCATTGGTTGCCAGCGTCCGATTGTTAGTAGAGAGATCTCTATGACAGCAGCTGCGCAAATATCAAAATTACACGCGTGGTTTGTTCCAAAATGAAATTTGATTGGCCAAATTCGAAAATCAGAATAAAATACTATAAAGTAGAAAATAAAGGAACAGAATATAAAAAAAATAGAATAGAGTAACAAAGAACAGAATAGAAGAGAATATAAAAAGAACATAATAAAATAGATAAGAAAATAAGAGACTAGAATAGAAAAGAATTGAATAGAATTGGAAAAAGAATAGAATAGAAAGAATATAACCATCTTCAGAAATTCGAATTTTGAATAGAATAAATTTGAGTTTGAATAGAATAGAAAATAATAATAGAAAAAGAAAATAGAATAGAATAAAATAGAAAGAACATAACCATCTTATGAAATTTGAATATGAATAGAAACAATTCAGTACTGCTACAATCACCTCAAGCAATATGAATAGAATAAATTAGAATGGAAAAGAATAGACTAGAAAAGAACAGAATAAAATAGAGAGGAATAGAATAGAAAATAAAGGCATAAAACAGAAAATAATATAGTAGAATAGAAAAAAAAACATAGAATAGAATAAAATAGAACATAACCATCTTATAAAATTTGAATATGAATAGAATAAATTAGAAAAGAAAATAATAGACTAGAAAAGAACAGAATAGAATAGAGAGGGATAGAATAGAAAATAAAGGCATAAAATAGAATAGAACGGAATAGAAAAAAAAAACAATAAAATAATGTGAGAAGCTCGCGGTGTGCAGTGACATCAGAGGAAGCCGTTTCAATCCAGGAGAGGAGGCGGGACAGCTGTGCAAGACTGAAGGGGAGGAGCCGGGACAGCTGTGCAAGACTGAAGGGGAGGAGCCGGGACAGCTGTGCAAGACTGAAGGGGAGGAGCCGGGACAGCTGTGCAAGACTGAAGGGGAGGAGCCGGGACAGCTGTGCAAGACTGAAGGGGAGGATCCGGGACAGCTGTGCAAGACTGAAGGGGAGGAGTCCGGGACAGCTGTGCAAGACTAAAGAGGAGGAGCCGGTACAGCTGTGCAAGACTGAAGGGGAGGAGCTGGGACAGCTGTGCAAGACTGAAGGGGAGCCGGGACAGCTGTGCAAGACTGAAGGGGAGGAGCCGGTACACCTGTGCAAGACTGAAGGGGAGGAGCGGGTACACCTGTGCAAGACTGAAGGGGAGGAGCCGGTACACCTGTGCAAGACTGAAGGGGAGGAGCGGGTACACCTGTGCAAGACTGAAGGGGAGGAGCCGGTACACCTGCGCAAGACTGAAGGGGAGGAGCCGGTACACCTGCGCAAGACTGAAGGGGAGGAGCTGGTACAACTGTGCAAGACTGGAGGGAAGGCCGGAGGTCAGATTTAATATAATCCCTGGTGATCCTGCCACGAAAGGTCCTTATTCTGGTACTTCCTGTTATGGGGTGACAACTGTCTCCCAATTGTGTCCTTGCGTTGTCACCCTGTCACATACACCAGAGTTGTAGTGGAACTCTTCTTCCTCTGTTCTCTGATGACTGCCTTGATTTGGAGAGAATGGAGGGACTTCCTTCCCATCAAAGCTTCACACTTGTCTGTCTTCTTTCCATTTAGGATCCAACATCCAGCGGATGAGCTCCGTTCTCTCACTTCTGTAACAGGTTCTTCCACTCTCTGACCTACTTTTGGAAAGCAATTTTAGGAAGCAGTCAGAGAGCAAACGCTGCAGCCGTGCTGAAGATGGAGAGATTACTGACCCCACTGACCGGGATACAGGCACATCGCATGTGATTCGCAGAGGAGCCGCACCACATTCCTGGCAAATAACATGTGATTTGTGTGCGGTGCGATCAGAGCCATACATGTTGTATGACTGTATTCACACCACACCAGAGAGGTGCAGGATACTTTTTTTTGGTCCGCACTAGAATCGTATCACATGGGTATTCACGTCCATGCAATCTGATTCTGCACATCCGGCCTTTCCACGCACATGACCTTTAATGGCCCCCCAGTCTCAGTCTTAGTCTGTAGGACTCAATATTGAGTTGGCCCCGCCCTTTCCACGCATGACCTGTAATGGCCCCCCAGTCTTAGTCCGTAGGGTTCAATATTGAGTTGGCCCCGCCCTTTCCCCACACATGACCTTTAATGGCCCCCCCAGTCTCAGTCCATAGGGTTCAATATAGAGTTGGCCCCGCCCTTTCTACACACATGACCTTTAATGGCCCCCCCCAGTCACAGTCCATAGGGTTCAATATTGAGTTGGCCCCGCCCTTTGCAGCTATAACAGCTTCAACTCTTCTGGGAAGGCCGTCCACAAGGTTTAGGAGGGTGTCTATGGGAAGGTTGGACCGTTCTTCCAGAAGCACATTTGTCAGGTCAGGTACTGATGTCGGGGGAGAAGGCCTGGCTTGCAGTCTCCGCTCTAATTCATCCCAAAGGTGTTCTATGGGGTTGAGGTCAGGACTCTGTGCAGGACAGTCAAGTTCCTCCACCCCAAACTGGCTCCTCCATGTCTTTATGGACCTTGCTTTGTGCACTGGTGTGCAGTCATGTTGGAACAGGAAGGGGCCATCCCCAAACTCCTCCCACAAAGTTGGGAGCATGAAATTGTCCACAATGTTGCCTTAAGAGTTCCCTTCACTGGAACTAGGGGGCCAAGTCCATCCCCTGAAAAACAACCCCACACCATAATCCCCCCTCCACAAAACTTTACACTTGGCACAATGCAGTCAGGCAAGTACCATTCTCCTGGCAACCGCCAAACCCAGACACGTCCATCGGATTGCCAGACAGAGAAGTGTGATTGGTCACTCCAGAGAACACGTCTCCTCTGCTCGAGTTCAGTGGCAGCGTGCTTTACACCATCCGACACTTTGCATTGCACTTGGTGATGGAAGGCTTGGATGCAGCTGCTCGGCCATGGAAACCCATTCCATGAAGCTCTCTATGCACTGTTGTTGGGCTCATCTGAAGGCCACACCAAGTTTGGAGGTCTTTAGCTATTGACTCTGCAGACAGTTGGTGACTTCTGCGCACTGTGCGCTTCAGCATGCGCTGACCCCGCCCTGTCATGTGACGTGGCCTACCACTTGGTGGCTGAGTTGCTGTTGTTCCCAGTTGCTTCCACTTTGTTATAATCCCACTAACAGTTGAGCGTGGAATATTTAGTAGCCAGGAAATGTCACGGATGGACTTATTGCCCAGGTGGCCACCTATCACGGGACCACGCTTGGAGTCACTGAGCTCCCGAGAGCGACCCATTCTTTCACCAATGTTTGTAGAAGCAGTCTGCATGTCTAGGGGCTGATTGTACACACCTGTGTCCATGGAGGGGGATTGGAACACCTGAATCACATGATATGGAGGGTGAAGACAATACTTTCAGCAATATAGTGTAGGCAGGGGCGGACTGACCATTCGAGCACTCGAGCACTGCCCGAGGGTCCGGGGTCAGTAGGGGGCCCCATGAAATGCCCCTGGAACATTTTTTTATAGGCTTTTTGGGTGTACTTTGAGTGTGGGCAAGAACACAGGGGCCCCATGATCCCCTATTGCCCAGGGGCCCCATGAGTTGTCAGTCCGCCCCTTAGTGTAGGTGTCACTCATTCCTAGTTGGGAGGTATGCAGCGTCCCAGAGAAGTAACAGGAAGGGAAGAGAGATCTCTACAGAATGAGACAGGGGCGGACTGACAACTCATGGGGCCCCCGGGCAATAGGGGATCATGGGGCCCCTGTGTCCTTGCCCAAACTCAAAAAAGCCTATGAAAAAGGTACCAAGGGGCATCTCATGGGGCCCCCTACTGACCCCGGGCCCTTGGGCACTGCCCGAGTTTCCAAATGGTCAGTCCACCCCTGGAATGAGAGCAATTCCCCGCTTAGACAGGTGGGACTAGAACTGGTGTCTCCATTGGAGGATTTCTGGTGACACCTGCAAAACTCCCATCCTGACCACACATATACTGCAGATGTTTGTTGTTGGGTGTGGTTGTCCTTTAAGCCCTTTGATGAGTACAGAATACATTGTAAGAAGCAGGGACTCGCGGTTACATTGTTACCATTACAAAGTGTTCCAGTATGATGTGTGTCCCCGGTCAGCACATTCCTGGCCGCTCTCGTCTCTGTGTGTTGATCCTGCACCCCGAGCATCCTTCAGCTGCTCTCTATAGCCGTGCTGGTTCATCTCTTCACCTTTCACCCGGCTGAATCCACCAGCAGCGCTTTCTGCGGCTTCTCGCCGGCCCCCCGCGGGGCCCAAATGTGCTGCAGCGAGGATTCCATTCTGTCCGTTCACTGAGCAGGACAGCGATGTCAGCACAGAGGAATGATGCCATTGTGAGCCATGGAGAGCCGGAACCTCGGGGAGCATCAAAGGCTGCTTATTACTGGAACCGCAGGAAGACGCGGGCGCAAGAGAACAAACACTGCGAGGAAAGATTGCAGGGGAACTCCGACACATCCACTTTATAGCTGATAGAGTCAAACCAGATGTCACCTTATATACAGATTACTGATCCGGCGCTGCTTCCTCCTCCACTCTCTGACAACACACACTGTCACCTTATATACAGATTACTGATCCGGCACTGCTTCCTCCTCCACTATCTGATGTGACAGTCACCTTATATACAGATTACTGATCCGGCACTGCTTCCTCCTCCACTATCTGATGTGACAGTCAATTTATATACAGATTACTGATCCGGCACTGCTTCCTCCTCCACTATCTGATGTGACAGTCACCTTATATACAGATTACTGATCCAGCACTGCTTCCTCCTCCGCTGTCTGATAATACATACACTGTCACCTTATATACAGATTATTGATCCAGCGCTGCTTCCTCCTCCTCTATCTGACAAGACACACTGTCACCTTATATACAGATTACTGATCCGGCACTGCTTCCTCCTCCTCTACTCTGACAACACACACTGTCACCTTATATACAGATTACTGATCCGGCGCGGCTTCCTCCTCCGCTATCTGATGTGACAGTCACCTTATATATAGATTACTGATCCAGCGCTGCTTCCTCCTCCACTATCTTGACAACACACACTGTCACTTTATATACAGATTACTGATCCGGCACTGCTTCCTCCTCCACTATCTGACAAGACACACTGTCACCTTATATACAGATTACTGATCCAGTGCTGCACTGCTTCCTCCTCTATTATCTGACAAGACACACTGTCACCTTATATACAGATTACTGATCCAGCACTGCTTCCTCCTCCACAGTCTGACAAGACATACAGGGGTTTATTTACTTAACCTGGTTGACTCAGAATCTTGTCCACTTCTGCATAAAAACCAATCAGCTTCCAGGTTTTATTGCTGAAGCTTAACTTAACATGCTGAGGTTAGAGAAGCTGATTGGCTACCATGCACAGGTGCCCAAGATTCTGAGTCAACCAGTTTTAGTAAATCTCCTATACACTGTCACCTTATATACAGATTACTGATCCAGCACTGCTTCCTCCTCCACTATCTGAAAAGACACGCACTGTCACCTTATATACAGACTACTGATCCGGCATGGCTTCCTCCTTCACACTATCTGATAACACACACACTGTCACCTTATATACAGATTACTGATCCGGCACGGCTTCCTCCTCCACTATCTGACAACTCACACTGTCACCTTATATACAGATTACTGATCCGGCACTGCTTCCTCCTCCACTATCTGATAATACACACACTGTCACCTTATATACAGATTACTGATCCAGCACTGCTTCCTCCTCCTCCACTATCTGACAAGACACACTGTCACCTTATATACAGATTACTGATCCAGCACTGCTTCCTCCTCCTCCACTATCTGACAAGACACACTGTCACCTTATATACAGATTACTGATCTGGCATGGCTTCCTCCTCCACTATCTGATAATACACACACTGTCACCTTATATACAGATTACTGATGCAACGCTGCTTCCTCCTCCACTATCTGACAAGACACACTGTCACCTATATACAGATTACTGATGCAACGCTGCTTCCTCCTCCACTATCTGACAAGACACACTGTCACCTATATACAGATTACTGATGCAGCACTGATTCTAGGCACTGCTTCTTTCTGGTCTAGGAGGATGCAGGACCCCTGACCTCTGTCTGGACAGTGCTGATTGGCCTTCTGCTGATCACATGAACTCTCCCAAAGGAGAAAAAATATCTCTAGCGATACACAGCAAACTGAGCATGTGCAGACTGTCTCCACATGATATGTCTTATCTGGATATAAGAGGGGGGG